AATATAGATGCGCGGCGAGTGAGAGTGTAACTGCTTGCACTTTTAGAGGGCCTTGTAAAACAAAAACAGGACAGCAGATTTTGTTCTTTTTGGCTTTGTGTCTCGTCATTATGATGACGACAAGGTTTGTTTGAGCTTGGGTCGACCATGGCTCATTATTATATGTATATGTATTATTACAATGTAATGTTATGGCTTTGTATTAAAAATGGAGCCTTCGTTTGTTTTCATTTTCCTGGCATGTGCACGGGCTGGTAACGATTGTCTGTAATCCAGTAGTGTTCAGCTGTGTGTCTGGCTCCACCTTTTGGCCTTTTGTTGTGCCATGTACACTTTAGAGAGGGTACCCAAAAGGTGGTACGGTTTGATTTTGGTACCTTTTGACAGTGGAAACTGCCATAAGCTTACAGTACCATGCGGCTCAGTGGAAATGGTCCATTGATCTTCATTTATTTATTCTAAAATGGTGCCCTACAGCTGCATAACTTCTAGCTTCCTTTAGCAGGTCCAGAAGTTACTTTCTTTTTTTTTTTTTTTGGGCTGTGGGTGCTTCCGCAGGTGTTTTTGAATGTGCAGAACAATGTTTCGTCGACATTGTGGGGGGGAAAACTTGCAGTATTTTTAAAAAGGGCCTGTTCACACATGATCCCTTTCCGGTAAGTTCCGCAAAAGGTCTATATGTGTGAAAGGGGCTAATGCTAACACTTTACTGAAAATGGCACTTAATCGATTGCTTAAATTTAAATTATGTTTCTTAGACTTGGAATACATGCACAATTTAGCAATGATTTTACCAGTGCTTTTAAAAGGTACAACATTGCAATAGGTGTAGTTTAATTTTTCCTTTGGGTTACGTTATTTCATGTTTTGGGATCAGGTAGGCAAAATCCCTAAAACTTCAAAGAGTCATTTAATCACATTTTGTTGAACAATACAATGTTTTATATTTTGATTAATTGGGATTTACATTTTCTCAAAGCTGAAGAAGCGAACTAGCATGAGCGAAAATGGTTATCCTTCTGTTTAATTTACAGTAATTGTCTCTCTCTCTCAAAAAAAAAAAAAAAACATTTAATGAGAACCTACAGTAGACCTGCCTTTTGTATATGTCTAATTAAAGTGCGCACAAAGGGATATCTTTGCCAACATCTCGTCATTAAATTGGTCATGGGTTTGTGTGTGTGTGAATGCGTGTCCATACAGACAGACAGTTCCTCTACATGATTGTTGCATGAATGAGCTCAGTACTAAATTAGACCACAGAACGCAGCCGTCCAATCAGCAGGGACCCTCTGCCTTCAGTGGTTGAAAGGTCAGACAATGCCAAAGCCCCGCCGAAGAGAAGCAGAGAGAGACAGGCGTGCTTTCTGTCACTCAACCCTCCATTACAGCACACACTTCCCTATTAGTGTTGCTATGGTGAAAGCCTCTCCACCCACAGGCGCGCCGGCAAAGGTTACCGTATTAAAAGGGCAGAAATGCTTCATTGCTCGCTTTCTTATTTTTTTCCGCTCCCTTTCCAATTTAAATGCAGCTTTTCCTGCAGGACCAATGATATCATTGCGGCTTACTGTATTGTGGCAGTTCAACAGATGTCGAAGCAAGCCTGACGTGTTGGTGCAACATCATGTGAAAAATAACAACTGGACGTGAATTTTTAATGTACACTCACAGGACACTTTATTAGGTACACATGTTAACAAGTTGGACCTACCTCTGCGTTAAAGGGATAGTTTACCCAAATATGACAATTCTGTCATCATTTACACACCTTTGAACTTGTTCCAAACAAAGATATTCTTAAGCATGCTGGAAACCTGCCAACATTGATTTCCATGGTGGTTGTTTTTTCCAACTATCAATGTCAGTGGTTTATGCTTTGAACGTTCCTCAAGATATTGGGCTCTATTTTAGTGATTTAGGTGCAAAATCTAAAGCGCATGGCCCTAAAGCATTAAGGGCGTGTCCGAATCCACTTTTGCTAATACGCTCTGCGCCCCGGCACATGGTATAACAGAATTGTGCCTATTCTCTTAATGAGTTATTGGTGTGTTTTGAGCATAACGTGTATTAAACCAATCAGAGTTTCATCTCACTTTACATTTAAAAGTCAGTTGTGTTGAGCCATGACGCATTTGCTATTTATATGGTGGACTTTGTAAGTGGAAAAACTGAACACTTTACTAACAAGAAAGCGGTTAAACAGACAAACTGCACGAGGGTGATGAGCATCCTCCAATCAGCTTTTTTACTTTATCTTTTACTTTACCTTTTTACTTTTACTCCTTTACTTTCATAGATAAGGAAGCGCACTATAATGTGTTGTACACACTTCACTGAAGACATCCATCAGCCTACCTCTTTAATTTTGTGTAAGCGCAAAGATTTGTTTCAAAACTATTTCTAAATTCAGTTCTATTTTCCAGCAAAGGAATGATAATATAATGAATATTAATAATAATAATAATAATAATGAAATGTGGTCAAAATGTGGTCAAGTTATATCCAAATACATGTCCTATTCCTATGCTCCATATAGTGACGCATACATCTCCAAAACTAAATACTGGCGTCTTAGATCAGCTTTCACAGTTGGTCAGTGGCGCAATATATTTCAGTTTCTTAAAATAGTAACGTGCCAACATTGCGCCTTAACACACCTCCTTTTTTGAAGTGGCACAAATATATGTGCTATTTAAATAGCTTGAAGCCAAATGTGAATATTAGGGTTGCGCTTGTCTGAGAATACCAACAAATCGCACCAAACACTTCTTGTACCTTATTTCGACGGGTGTGTTAGAGCCCATTGTGTTCAACAGGGGACAAAAAGGAAGCTCAAACTGGTTTTGAACAAGTCCAGGTTAAGTAAACATTGGTGTAATTTTTGTTTTGGTTGAATTATTCCTTTAAAAAGTCTCTTTATTTTGTCATTGATTTAACAATGTGCTGGAGGCATTTCTCAGAGAATTGACATGGTATCGTTGGAGGTTTGTCTACTGTGCATTCATAGTGTGAATTTCCCATTCCAGCACATCCCAAATGTTCTCTGTTGGATTGAGGTATGGAGGACATCTGAGTTTAGTGAATCCAGTTTGAGATAATTTGAGCTTTGTGACATGGCACAGTATTCTGCTGGAAGTAGCATCAAATGAAGGTTTCACTGTGGTCTTAAAGGGATTAGCATGGTGTGAATGCTTTTGCATTTAAACAATGCTCAATTGGTACTAAGGAGCCTAAAGCATTCCAAGAAAATGTTTCCCACACCATTACACCACCAGCAGCCTGAATTGTTGATTCAAAACCGGATGAATCCATGTTTTCAAGTTGTTCATGGCAAATACTAACCTGTCCATCAGAATGACTCACAACATCACAAGTATTCAGACTAGACAACCATTCTTTCTCCAGTCTTCCGTTGTCCTAGTTTACACATGTGAGGGTTACATGCTCGCAGGAAAAGCTCTGCTCAAATAACACACACTGACTGGATTTTTTTCATGTTGCAGCATACTGCTTGCATAAGCGCTTCTATGCCATCATGGTAATGCTGCTAAAATGACAACTATCGACTTGTTCATAGTCAATAAATGTGGTTTATTTTATTAAATTGATTTTGTTTTTAATCAGTATAATTAAATTTAATTTGTGTCATACAAGATTATATTTAATAAAGCATTATTTGATCATCACAAAGCATTTTTGGTTTCATTTTTGGCCAAGTTCAGTCCAGAATTTTTTGATTTTGGCCTAGAAATTTTTCATCGATAGATTCAAGACTTGATAAATGTTTGCACCGTTGTTGGCCTCGCTTCACTCCCACAACTCTCTGTTCCACCCACACTTGTCACAGGTACAGAGTTGAACAATCAAAGATCTTGCATTCTACGTCGTTTTGTGCATCAGGGTGTAGCAAAGGTAATGTGGAAATGTAAATCGGACCTTAGTCACAAAACATTTCACATGATAAAACCTTCAGACTTATAGAATGTTAAAGTCGTTGTGAAATCATCAATTTACAATTTATTTCGCTTGCACACATTGTCTTGCTAACATTTATTTAAAGTCTGCTGAAGTTGTGGTCCTTTTCTGTTAACGCCAGTTTGACAACTTCAGCGACAATACACTTGACATGCCCCTCTGACAGTTAGAATGCTACAAGAGAATGATGCACGAAAAGATAACCTTGCCCCCTACTCAGTGTTCTGTTTTAATTGTAAGTACATCAACTGTTACACCTGGCTCAGGGATGTAACATAGTAAGGGAGACAACAAGGAGAAGTATAATCAAATAGAAGATTTATTTAACTCGATTTAAATTATATAATCAAAATATCAGTATCAGCATGTTCAATCAGTGTGAAATGCAAGTGTATGGATGTGGTAAATGTTGTCAGTGATAGTGTGTGGATGCGAAACAAAGCATAATGCCCAAATTGGAGCTCAGCTCCGGCCAACTGCCAAGTGAATGGACAGCAGCCCCCACAAGCTCTCTGGCGTGGCTTAAATAAGGGCGCTGACCAGCATCAGGTGCGCTGAAGGCAGGCCCCCAATCTAGAAATCAAAATCAAACACACAGAAACGCAAAACAACGCAGTCCTAACATCAACATACTGAAATAATTCTTGGCAACTTCCGATTCATGTGGACGTTAAAGTTTTAGCCACTTTTCGTTTTGTTCAAGTTTTTAGTTATACCATTTTTTTTTTTTGTCTCATTTGGTTAATTTTTAAACTAAACCACGTTAAACTAAACAATTTGTATTAGCTTAACTTTTAAAATTGTATTTCAATACTTTCAATTCTTATATATAAATAACCATTTTCTGTGTAATTTCTTCAAATAAATGCAGCTACGGTGTGTGCAAGAGATTTTTCACAAACTTACTTTCTTTCAGATGGTACATTTTATATTTAAGTCCAAATACTTGTGGGTTACGGTGCAAAGTCAGTCTGCAGTTTTGCGCGTGCTTGTGTGTGTGTGTGTGTGTGTGTGTGTGTGTGTGTGTGTGTGTATTAACGGGCAGCTGCTCAAGTCTGTGTTCTGTGTCCTGAGGTGTGCTTCTCTCCTCTCCTTGGCCTCCTGAGCACTGATCATAAGAAAAGTTCACTTATTTTGATTTTAAAACACAGTACACCCCCCGCAACCCCCACTCCCCAACAGTGTCCTTCCTTCCTGCCGCACTATAAAGAGCACGAGAAAAGAGCGCCAAAGATGGAAGATGCCGTCCTCACTTGCAAAAGAAAAAGGGAGGTGAGAATTGAAGCCGACATCAAAGAAGGGTGTGTGTTCAGCAGAGGTGTATGTGAGATGGGGCATCAGCGGGGGGGATCTTCCCTCTTCAGGATGTCTCTGGTCCTGATGTGACTTTGATGAGCTGCTCAAAGCTCAGGTGCTCTGGAGCAGGCCGGCCCGCGGTCGTGTATCATGAGTAAGGGTACTTGCTGGAGTTTGCTGCTTTTGATGACTTTGAGAAATTGATCTCGGTGCATTGAGCTGTGGTCAGGGATTAAAGTTCTCCGTCGTTACGACGGATTTCCGTCAATTGGAGCGAGTCATTGACGGATTTCCGTCAATTACAGTGTTCCGCTTGTTCTTAATTTTTTTTCATGCTCTTTTCCTAATTTTAATGCTGTAAATATAGGCATTTCTCAAATAGTGTAATAAATGTCTTAATTTTAGTTTGAATAGGTCTTAAATTAAGAAAAGAAGTGTATTCAGCCTGCTGAGGAGGAAAAAAATTTTGTGATCAAAGCCTGGAGTGGAGCAAATGCACGTTCCTCTCTCCACTCTAAGCGTTTTAGCATCACTCCGCTATGGATCCACTCCGGGTTTTGGTATAGTTTCAGAGAAGTACATGTCAGGCTACGGCTGAGGTAAGTTATTTATATTTAAGATAGCATGGACCCATTTATAATGCAGGAAGGCTCCGATGTTTCGGAGATCGAAAAAAGTGTAAAAAATAAATGGAGATGGGCTTGGCTTAGCGAAATTGGGGAGAATGGCAAGCCTTTTAGTTCGTGGGCAAAAAAAATTAAACAACCAGGTACGTGTCTTTGCACAGTATGCCACAGGAAACTTCAATATGGCAGTAATGGCAAAAAAGTGCTAGCTCGCCATCAGTCAGAAGCCAGTCACAATGCCGCCGTTCGTGCTCTACAGTACACTTGCTCCCTGCCTGGTGCGACAAGTACCACAACGGAGATTCATGCATCTATGGCCGACCGTGTGTGCGATGTAAAAGTGCGCGTATGTTCTTTCATAGCGGAGCATGACCTGTCGTTCACAATCTCACAACCGCTAGTTAATTTGATGCAGTCAGTTGTCAAAGACAAGAGTGCACTTTCAAGATTGTCAATGTCTAATGCACATGCCTCCTACTTGTGCACACATGGTATTGCTGCTTATTGGAAGTCCGAATTGTCATCTAAGCTGAAAACGAAGATGTTCTCATTAAATGTAGATGAGGCAACAGATGGAAACATGGACAGGATTCTGAATGTTCTTGTTCGGTACTATGATGAAGATGTGGGAAAAGTGGCAACCCAGCATCTAGCCTCGAGGAAACTGAATATCGCAGATGCCTTATCAATCACAAACACATTGACAGATATTCTCCAGTCATATAGCCTGAACTGGAATCAGGTTGTTGGTATACTGTTGGATAACTGCAGTGTGATGAGAGGGAAAAAGTCTGGAGTAGAGACACTAGTCAGAAGAGAAAATCCATCATTGCTGGATGTCAGCGGAGACACTGTCCATATGGTCTCGAATGCAGCCAAGGCCCTTTTAAATACTTTCCAGGGATTTGTGGAACAATTTTGCTCTGATGTATACTATGACATTGAAAAATCACCCAAACAGAAAGAAATTTTTTCTGAGTTCCAGTCCTTACTTCATTTGGAGAATAAGAGCCTAATACGTCCCATCAGCAGCAGGTTCCTGCAAATGTTAGATGTGTGCAACAGAATACGGGACCTTATGGATCCATTGACCGTGCACTTCTACAGCGTCCTGTCTTCTCATGATCAACACAAACACAGGTACTTCTATTTTTGTATCATCTTATTTCTGTACTAGTAGGCTTTTTTTGGATCTTTAATAAAACACACACACGCACAGGTCTATGGTGATATCTTTGTGGGGCCCTTCCATAGGCATAATGTATTTTTTACTGTTTAAACTGTATATTCTATCCCCTTCCCCTTTTATTTCCCACGTGGGGCCCACAAAAAGGGCCCCACAACATCAAAAATCCCCGGTATTACTATCCATGAGGGGACATTTGGTCCTAAAAAAGTAATATAAATAAACACACACACACACACACATATATATATATACACACTCACTTTTTTGTTATTAATAATATTTAAAGATGCAGACATTTACTGGATTTTTTTACATAACAAATCTAAACCAAGGGGTGGCGATGCCTCAGTGATCAATCAGGTTATGTATATAAAGTTATAGATACAGTGACTCAAAGGGTTAAATATGTTAGAACAGTGAAGCTCAGCTTTATTCCAGATGCTATCAAATTATTAAATAATCTTTATATAGAAAAAAGGATGAGTCTTGACCTGTAAACTCAAAAATTATGTCATGACTGTTGAAGTATTGGCAATTAGAAATAGCATTGTCTATTTTTTCTCCTTAATCCTTATTTGTATATTATAATTTTGTGATGCAGATGGCTCCTGAACCAGCTTCTTGATAAGCATGCAGTTACATCTGATGAGAAGGCCAGGATAATATGTCTGCAACAGCAAATAGCAAAATCTGCGAGGATAGGAAGTGATGTCAACAAAAAACGAAAGACACGCATCTGTATGCTTTTTTCCGAGTTCGACAAGCTCACAACCATTATTGATTTGTATCGAGGTATGTTCACTTTTTATTCACTTTAAGTGTTAAGAAAAGTACAGAGATTTCTTATTTATTGAAATCCCTTTATTGCTATATTTATTATATGCTTATTTTTCTTGGAATCCTTGAATGGAATCTGAGTTAACTATAAATAGTTTTTAGATCACTGTTAATCAGATCACTTTGGTTAATACTACTACTACTAATAATAAACTATTTATACAGCAGTTTTCAAAAACAAAGTTACGGACTTATTAACCAGATTTAAAACATGTCAGGACTGATGTAATTTAAACTAGACAATTGAATAATACAAATGGAAATAACAAATCTAGAAAATAATATTAAAGGGTTGTAATGTTCTAAGAAGAGTATGTTACATTGCTATGAATGTGATAATTAATCAATGAATAAAATATACAGACCCATTTCTAATCTGGTTCTATTGTGATTTTTAGGTGTACTTCCAACTTTCCAGGTGTTCCTGAAGAAGTTGCAACATGAAAAGCCCATGATTCATGTGCTGCATGCTGAAATGCTACTGCTGGTTAGGGAACTTCTCTCCAAATTTATGAAGCCTGAAACTATCCCTTTGAGTGCAAATGGCTTGTTGAAGCTTAATGTTCACCAGAGAGACCTGCAGTACACTGACAAAAGGTTGTCTGTGGGAAGATTCAGCTTCTTTGCCTTAAACAAGGCTAGAGTGGAAAAGAAGCCCTGGGTGCAGAAGCTCTACAGTTCTCTCAGAGAAGGCTACATAAAGGCAGCAACATTCCTCCTGAAAAACCTGCCCCTCAACAACATCATCATCACCTCTTTATCTGCGTTGACACCATCATTGATTCTCCACGAATCAGTCCAAGGTGCATTCAACACCTTGGCCAAGGCCTTGCCAAATGCTGTGAAGTCAGAAGAGTTGGGTCAACTGGATGAAGAGGTTCGAGCCTACCAGATTAATACAGATCTAGGAGCACAGGCCAAATGCTTTGAGGAGAACAATGCACGAATCGATGTTGACTGGTGGAGTAAGATTTTTGCCATGAAGATGACAGGAGGAGGAACGAGGTTCCCCATCTTAGGGAAGTTGGTAAAGGCTCTTCTGTCATTGTTCACTGGCCCTCTTGTAGAAGGATCATTTAACATGATGGATGATATAATTGAGAAAGACAGGGTTAGGCTGAACATTGAGACTTATGAAGGTTTAGCCATTCTCAAGTCCAACATGAAGGTAATGGGCAAAACTGCATCTAAAATGCAAATTACCCCTGCATTAAGGAGATTTTGCCTGTCTTCTTATGAGACATACCAAAATCATCTGAAGAAAAAGAAGGTGAACCTTGACAATCAAAAGGAAAGGAAACTGAGGGAAGCTGTGAAGGTTCTCTCAGAAGTTAGGGTTAGAAAAGTAAAGAAAGGTTCCACCTCTTATGTTTGTGCTAAAGCCCCCACCTCTTCCACCCTGGGAGTTAAACGAATAGCTGCTGCTACAGCCTCCACCTCCTCCACTGCTGGAGTTAAAGGTAAATCTGCTGCTACAGCCTCCACCTCCTCCACTGCTGAAGTTAAAGGTAAATCTGCTGCTACAGCCTCCACCTCCTCCACTGCTGGAGTTAAAGGTAAATCTGCTGCTACAGCCTCCACCTCCTCCACTGCTGGAGTTAAAGGTAAATCTGCTGCTACAGCCTCCACCTCCTCCACCTCTCCTGGAGCCACTCCTGCACATGTAGCTAGTCAAACACTAAAACGGGTTTCAGGTGTAGCCAAGCTTCAGGAATATGGTTTTACAGCCAAAAAGCAGAAAAAGTGAAAAGCACTCTAGAGGCATTTGGACAAGAAAAGCACTTTTTGGAATTTAGTGGTGGTGCTGTTACTTTTTTTTTGCTGTTAATTATTAATAGTTTCACAAAACATTGTTTGGTGTTATAAGATACATAAAACATGCACTGAAAATACACTTTTTGAAAAAGCACTTTTTGGAATTTAATGGTGATGCTATTACTTTTTTTCTGTTCATTATTAGGAGTTTCACAAAACATTGTTTGGTGTTATAAGATACATAAAACATGCACTGAAAATACACTTTTTGAAAAAGCACTTTTTGGAATTTAATGGTGATGCTATTACTTTTTTTCTGTTCATTATTAGGAGTTTCACAAAACATTGTTTGGTGTTATAAGATAAATAAAAATATGCACTGAAAAAAACACTTTTTGAAAAAGCTCTATTTTGAATTTAATGGTGGTGCTATTACTTTTTTTCTGTTAATATGAGTTTCACCAAACATTTGGTGTTATAAGATAAATAAAAACATGCACTGAAAAGATGTGTGGTAGATGGTTGATTATTTGTCAAGTTATATATTTTTCAAAGATAGCTTTTAAAATATGCAAACTGGCAACATTAAAGCGGTTTAATCTCCCCTTAAAACGCTATTGGTCTCGGCTATTTAAATAAAATTTTGGTTTTAGGAATATGGCTTGGCCTGAAAAAAGTTCAGTCACAAGAATTTTTTTCACTTTAATCCCTGTGTGGTGCCCTTTTAGGGTATTGAAGTTCTAGTCTGGTATGAAGTTCCATTTGTTATTGTCATCTAATGCATCGGTCTTGCATTATGTGGGGTTTTTCAATCTTTAGCGGCGAAGATCCTACTTTCAGGATGAGCCCTTAGTTGGTTTCAGTAATGCTTCTTTTCATATTTGGAGGGAACAAAAAAAAAAAAGATTTTCCAAGTCATAGTGGAATATATATCGAGTTACTTTTATGAAGGAGCTTTTAGAGGAGAGATGCTTCCATTGACGTATTTTCTGGTCAGATACACTGGGTGGGCAGGACTTTAATAAAGAACTTTTTCCTTTTTAAATGTCAGTAGACTTTACTTCAGAATTTAATTTAGTTCTTATTTTGAGACATTTTTCATCGTGCCCATGGTCTAATGGTTTGTGTGCATTTAAAAAAGTTTGCAAAAAAGCATCAGTTTATTTGGTTTCTTACTCTATTTTCATTTTGTTTTACTCTTATTTTCATTAAAGCCTAAAAAGTTTTCTTATTATCATGAATTGGAGATTCTTGCAACCACTGTTTTGATTTGTAGGTTAATAATGATTTGAATCGGAGGAAATTGACCTGCCCAACTGAGCCTGGTTTCTCTCTTGGTTTTCCTTCACTTTTTGTCAAGTGGTGAAGTTTTTTTCCTTGCCACTGTTGTCACTGGCTTGCTTGGTTTGGTATTTGTGGAGCTGTGCATCGATAGATTTGCTCTTCATTGTTTGAATTTAAACCACACTGAACTGAACCAAACTGAACTTCAGCCCTGAACACAGCTTCCATTGACTTGATCTGTGTTAAGCTACTTTGACACAGTCTTTTTTGTAAAAGTGCTATAGAAATGAAGATAAATTGAATTAAAAAATTTGGTTGGTTGGGCAACTATAAACAGCCTTTTGCTTGTATATTATGGAAAGTGAAAGAGCATTTATTGCCAAATTAAACGATTTGTTTAACTACAGCTTATTTATAGTGTTAATAATATTATTCTAATGTTAAGGTTTTGTGTTGCTAATAAATAATACTTTAATAATAATTGAGTTCATTTAAAATGTTGCAAATAAGTTCCATTTTTAAATGTTATTTTATTTGACTTCCTATTTCAGTTATTATAGTTTATGTAAAAAAAAGTTAAAGTAAACTTTATGCTAATCTTGACAATAGTCAACACTGATCATCAATGTTTAAAATTGTAAAAAAAAAAAAAAAAGAACATTTTATGAATGTGTGAAAATCATATATAAAAATAAGTAAATAAATGTATTATAAACAGTTATTGGTAATGTCAATAATAGTTTTCCATTTTTTCCCAAAATAAACTATAGTATCTGGATATAGACTTGCACTAAATAGAGCAAGTGATCTCACTGTGAGGGTTAGGGGTGGGGTCAGGTGTTATTTCCTACCACAGCAATGCTGATAACACAGATCTATGTAGTCTTATTGCCAAATGACTACAGCCCCATTGAAACCATCTGTCAATGCATTGATGACATAAACAGTTGCATGTACCAAAGCATTCTTCAGTTTAAGAAATAGAAAACTGAAGTCATTGCATATGGGAACAGGGATGAGGTCCTAAAGGTGAATGCATACAGTGCCTTGCCTCAAAGGGTCAAACTACAAAAAAATAAGTTCAAGAATCTTGGTGTTATTCTGGAGTCAGATCTGAAGTTCAATAGCCATGTCAAAGCAGTAACTAAATCAGCAAACCACCATCTCAAAAACATTGCAGGAATTAGATGCTTTGTTTCCAATGAGGACTTAGAGAAACTTTTTATTTCTATATTATATTACTATATTATTCTATATAACTTTTTATTTCTATATTATATTTTATGTTCATATTTGTTTGCACTACTGCCCTTTGTACACTGTCTTGTCTGTACGCAGCGACGCTGCACTGCTTTGGCAATACGAATGTACAGTTATTTGTCATGCCAATAAAGCACCTAAAATGTGAAAATGTGAAATGTGAAACTTGCTCATGCTTTTATCAGCAGCAGGATGGATTACTTTAATGGTCTCCTCACTGGCCTCCCCAGAAACATAGTCAGACAGTTGCAGCTTATCCAAAACGCTGCTGCCAAGATTCTGATCAGAACCAGAAAGTCAGAGCATGTCACACCTGTCCTCAGATCTTTACACGGGCTCCCAATTACATTTAAAATAGATTTTAACTTATTATTCTAGTCTATAAATCACTAAATGGCCTAGGACCTCAATACATTACAGATACATTTTATGTTTTAATTATTTATAATTCTTTTAGTCTTGTTTTTTATTCTTTATATAAAACACTTTGAAATACCATTGTGTATGAAAAGTGCTATATAAATAAACTTGCTTTGCCTAGGTGTAGGCAGTAAAACGCATTGCATGCAGCTCATTTTGCAACTGTACCAAGTCCGCATCCAGACCTCTCTTCATTTAGTAAGCATAACTTTCAAAAACTACAACAAAAAATGTAATGACCCTTTGGAACAAATACTGTAAATATGTTTGAACACAATGTTAAAAAACAAATCTCAAAGTATTTCACGATCAAATGTGAACTATCCTTCTTTCTCTCTCCCTCTCATGTGGGTGAGCATAGTGAAAAATTGGTTTCCGAACTCTAAACTGTGCTTGGTTATGTAAGTCCAGACATTTTCATTGGAGGAGACAGAATCTCTCACACACACGCACACACACTCAGAATCAAACAGTTTTCACTCAAAGCTTGTGCTGTCATTGTTTTGGCAGTGTTGATGGATTGGCGTTATTGTCACGATGAAGGGCATCGCTCCGTACATCACACTATAGAGCATAACGCTATAGCTAAGAGTGTGTCATCTGTTTTCAGCCAAAAGGGTGTCTTGTCTGAGTGCTGCACTTTGTTGGTGATTCTCTTGAGGAAAAGTAGTAGGGTATTTTGTTGTATTCCTAACATGCAGCATTCTCTCTGTATGCTTGGGCCATTGAAGGCCTCGGAGTGCTTTTACAGAGCGCTGCATTTTCTGCGTTTCTTTTGTCTTTAGTGCCAAAGCTTCTGCTTTTATGGACCCGGCCTTGGCTGGCTTCAGTCATGCATCTCTCTTTTCATCGATGGAGAAAGAGTGCAGAGCTCCGACATTTTCCTATTGGAGAATTGAATTGTGTATAAAGACGATGAACAGTAAACGTTTGTTGTGAAAACATGCATTTCCGGAAAAAGTGAAGGATTATTTGGGAGGGAAGAAAGGTGTCTTTTTAACATATATAAATATTTAATATATAAATATATATTAATAATAGATATACACTGACACTACTATTCTTAGCCATTACTGACTGCCAGTCATCTAGAGCAGGGGTGCCCAAACCTTTTTTTATGAACAGCCAAAAATGTAAATATCATTGATAGCCATGGGCCAAAGGTAATTATCAAACTTTTTTACATTAAATTTGCCATGGGTAATTTCGTATTTTATAATATAAAAAACTAAATCTGATTAATTTATACCATTTAAATTGACACATTTAATTTCAGATAGCTATTTTTTTGTTGCTTAACAATAATACAAAACTTTAAATTTGAAATGATAATCTATACATAACCCATTCTCAAATTGGGTGTGAGGCCAAATCAAAAGTTAACATGGGATAACTTTGGCCCCTGGGCCATAGTTTGTTCATCTCTGATATTGAGTGATATCTACAGATTGTCCTTCCTTTTATTTAATTATTTATTTAATTATTCTCCAAACTAAAAAAAGAAATGGAAAGAAAAATAAATATATATTTATTAAATGTGTGTCTTTATTGGTTAAATACTTAAAAAAACTTATTTCTCAAGAATATATATTTTTTCAAATTTTTAACTTAATTCTTAATCTTACTAAACATAGTATTTTCCCTAAAGATTATATGTATTTACATAATCCTAAAATTTATTTATTTTTTTATTTTTTGAAAGGAATGTGTTTTACAGTTGGTTAGTCATGTCCACTCACCTGAGCACACTCAAAATTGCAGTGTATTCCAAACAGCATAGAGTCCTTTTAAAGGTCCTGTTAAGTGCTTTGAAATATATTTTTATTTGATGTCTGATGTAATCTCAAACGAAAAACAAAGAGAGGGTGGGACATAGTGTAGCTTTTCCCCCTTGTAAAAACAACAAATAATTTCTTTTCATCACAGCTCTACCAGTCAGAGCGGTTGAGCTCAAGTTTATAACATGAAAAGCTAATGAGAATCGGGCGGGGAATATCAGATAATCGAAAGCATTTGATTGATTACTGTTTTGGAGAACACCAGCTTATAGAAAACTTTATCAATACTGATACTAACATCTAAAAACTTAATTTCATGGGACCTTTAAGAAGATGTCTGGTGCATATGGAGAGGAGGAGAGAGTGTGTCTCCAGTTGGTTTGTCAAACTCTGCATAAAGCACACTAAGAATTGCAAAAAGTAAACAGTGTCTGGTGCAGTTGTAGAGGGGGGGTTGGTCACAGGTGGTTTATTATAATGTACTCAACTGAAGAAAACGGACTTCAAATCTTTGTAGATGTAAAGTTTTATTTTAGATTTGTACTAGAAATGTGAAATCCAACAGATACTGAGAATATTGCAGTGTGCTGAATCCAGTTGAATAGCATGGCGATATGAGATGTTTGACTGAAACATTAAGACGATAAATGCGCACTATAATTGCAACTATATGGTTTCTCCATGTTCAAGCCAGCTTGTGTATTTTCATATGAGTACTTCTGTTTATACTGGATTCAGAATGACCCAGGGTTAAATATTTTGTATCTGAAAAGCCCCGTAGTCTATCTGCAGCAAAGAAGAGGGGAGGGGGGAAAAAATAAGCTCATGCAGTCATGAATAATTCATTGGTCAGAAAGTGTGGGAACTCTACGTTCATTTTAATAATTGTCGTTTTGCCTTTTGTTTAGATTCTTTTCATTAGTTTCGCCCTCCATCTCATAGTTTACACATCCATAAAATGGACATTTTTGGAGTCACTCACAATTTTTTTGCATGTTGGTGGCTTTGTTTTTTTTTTCCTATTGACATTTCTTGAGCATTTTTTTTGTCCAATTCTTGGTTAGACTAATACTGATCTAAATTTTAAAACCTTTTGTGTAAAAAAAAAAAAATGGTAAAGGGATTTTTAGGCATACAATGAAACGGGGTTCCCACGCTACTTGAAAGTGCTTGATTTTCAGACATA